GAAAAAAAAAGAAAAAAATAGTTTTTGGGGTCCAGGGTTTTAGTTTTTTTTTTTTTTTTTTTTTTTGGTGAATTTTGGTGGAAAACGAAAAATCGAAAAACTTTTTTTCTTTTCTAATATTATTTGGGCAAGGATTGTTATTTTGGCCAACTTTTTTGTTTCGTTTGTTTGTCCAAAAATACAGAATTTTTGTCCACCACGTTCGCTCGCTTGGTTAATAAGTTTTCATCAACGGTAGCAGCTCAAAGAGGAGCAGCCCAAAGCATCAGCATATATTACATGTCAATGGTGACGGATGATGATGACTATGATGAAAAATGTATTCCCCATTTTTGTTAACCCCTTCTGATCTTTTTTTCTGACCAAAAATCATCCGACAGCAGCCGTCCATGATATGATGAAAAATAAAAACTTTTTTTCTCTGTTTTCTCTTGATTCAAAACGAGAATAAAGTTCAGACAGAAAAACCATTTCTTGACCGTTATTGGTGACATAAATTATCGAATTATTATTATTATTTAGAGCTAATAATTGAGCCATTGGTTGGTTGGTTGGTCAGTCAGTTTCTTTCAAATGGTCATCGTTGCTTTTGACCCTATCCATTTTTGGTTTTATTTTTACTGACCAAAATAAATCTAGAAACGTCTAGGAGATCACTGGTATAAGGTTCATAGGGTTCATCATACGAGTGTGCCAAGCACGTGGCACGTATGTAACCCGTTGAGCCATCCAATGACCAACGACGACAGTGACAGTAGTCAAAAAAAAGAAAATTATTATCGATAATGTCAAACGGATATTGCCTACATCAGGCTACATATATTAAACATTGTCTGATGGACATTCAGACATTTTTTTCTTTAAAGATATAGACCAATATTATCATCTTTTGACCGATATGACCAAAGGTCATAACATTTGTTTTTTGGAAATCGATCCAAGACGGTGACCAGACGTTGGTTAGAATTTTGCTGAATTGCAACTCTTTGATGGTGATGATGAACTCTCTGTATGTCTGGACACACACCATATTCTCATCACATCCGACAATGATTGTAGACACAAACGAACGAATTAAAATGACCCTTTAGGCCATCAACCAACCAAAAAAAAAGTGACCAGACTGATTTCAAAAACCTTTAAAACTGTGTGTGTGTGTGCCTGTGAACCGTATCGATTCTTCTGTTTTGAGACCCAGTTTTTATTTCAAAAAAATTGACCATTTTGTGATTTGAAATTGAATTTTTTTTCATTTATCACTGCGTGATTCGCGTGCGCAATTTTTTTTTGAACGAGAGAGAAGGGGGTTAAATTTAGATTTACGATCCTATCGAACAAAATGACAATACGAAAAAAAAACATTAAAAAGTCCGAATTGATAATGGTGGCCAGACATTGATCAAAAAAAACATTAAAAATGGTCATTTTCAATGTGACACGCGTATGTTTTTCTCTCACTCTCACCCTCTCTGTCTCTGACTGACTGACTGACCAGGTCAGGTCAAATAATGTTTGGATGTTTTTCATTTTTGTTGAATTTTTTTTTTGAAAATCAAAAATCAGAAAAAAATTCACTCACTTTCTCCCCTTTGATTTTGGGTCCAAAACTTTGAACTTTTGGGATTTTCAGTTTTGAACAAAAAAAAATATCATCATTTTGACTGTCCCAATCGGTCATTTGAAACACGCACACCATGTGTACAGCACGGTTATTGCTTGTTTGCTTTTAACGGATCTAACCAGTCAAGTTTGTTCGTTGCAAACAGCAACAACCAAAATAAATTATAACTCTTTTTGCTTAATTTAAAAATTTTCGGTTTTTTTTCAAAAATAACCCTCCGGTTTCCCCCTAAGAGTCGTTGAAGTAGTTTATTTTGTTTTTTTTTTTGATTGAAAATCGAATCGATTCTAGTTTAATGTAGGCCATCGTATAGTGATGATTGATTTGTTGTAGATTTTTGGTGGTTGTAGTTTACTGACTGGCTGACTGATTTGATCAATATTTTTTTTCTTCTAACTAGTCATCCGTAACCTTTAAAAGATATAACCCGTTAATTTTCAAGAGGAATTCATTCTTCCGGTCATTTCTTACCAGATTCAAACTGAGAAGTACAAATTACGTAATAATACCTTATATTGCTAGTCAGGGTTTTCTTGTTTGAAAAAAAACTTTGTCAAAAAAAATTTTCTGATTGATAATGATGATTCCCCTCCAGAAAAAAACAACAACAACAAAATAATCGAATAGAACATGTCAAAATTGAACATAACATAACATTACAAAGAGAAAGCAACAACAACAGAAAAAGTTTTTCGAAAAAATAAAATTGATTAACGAAGAAGAAGAACGTGCCATATGTTCTGTCATGGTAAATGATGAGTTAGTAAAAACAGAAAGAACAGTAAGTTAGCGACAATATGATGTTGGTGGAAAGTGGACCGTGGACAGTGGTGGACACATAATAATCACAATAACAGTAACAACGAATCTGACATGGACAAACATTTGTGTTGATGATGATCACACGTGTGAATGAATGAAAAAAACAACATGATTCTGATTTTGTTTGGGTGGGGAAAAAACAGAAGAGAAGAATCTTAATCAAAATTAACTCCCTGCTGTCGAATCAGAATGATAATAATTCAATTTTTTTTCATTTTCATTTCATTTCACCAAAGAAGTAGAAAAAAATTCAATTTTAGATTGTAATCAAAGGATTGAACATTGGAAAATAGAAATTGTCACCATCATCGACAAACTAGCTAAATGATGATCGATATGAAGAGACCAATGGTGGTCAGTGGTTGCCACAAATATCCAATATATTCATTAGATTCGCTACGTTTTTCTCCTATGAAAAACCTCCAAAATATAATTCATAATTGACACATTGTCTTGTCATTTTTTTTTTGTTTTCATTGTTTCTTGTTGCTTGTTTTGGATTTTAAATGAATGAATGAATGAAACATACATTTCCCATTTAGATCCATTAACCAAGAAGAATTTACTGAATCAAATGCTGAATGACCAGATGCCTTTATCATTGTGAAAACATTGAAAAACATTGCATGTGTGATTGATGATGAAATAGCAAAAAGGATTTTTCTTCTTCTTTTTTCTTCAACTGTAAAAAGGGTCAATAACGTTGTTGTTGTTGTTGTTTTTTATATATGAATGAATTAACAAAACAAAGCAAAAATATGAATTGAATAGAAATTGAATGGGTTTAATGAATTGAAAATTATATTTGTCCACCTGCAAATACACAAACGCGTGAACAGCACGAGTTTTTATTTTTTCTGGTCAACGGGTCATAATGTTGTTAGAATGATTCTTTTTTTAGATCAGAAAAAAAAGTTTATTGACTGTTTTTTTTCGAAAAAAAACACATAACGGTGATAACATGGTCATGATGATATTGACCTCAATCACCTAATACCAAATGGACCATAGAGTGGAGAAAAAAGGGTTATTAGAGCTTCGGTTGTTTTTTTTTTATTTGAAAAAATGACCTTCAAAATGATATGAATGACAATATGAAATCTCCTGCCTGGTGTAAAGCACGAGCCAAATAAAGTAAGCAATTTGCACGCGTGTTATTTTAACCCATCAGACACACACAAACACAAACACATAGGTTAATGGACCTGGACAGGATGCCTATGCTTAGTGTTTTACTTTTTTCCTCTTTGGTCAGTGAATAAAGCAAGCAGATGAAAAAATCAGATTGACAAGCTTGCTGACCATTGAATCAAATATTTTTTTTTTCATTGAATTTTTAACAGAACAAAAAAACATCATCATCATCATTGGAACAAAAATAATGTCAAAGGTCGAGAGAGGTATTGTGTGTGTATTGACCACTTGAATTATGCAAACTTTTTTTTGTTTGTTTGATTGAAAAGTAAAAAAAGAAAGAAAAAAGTACCAGGTATTTTTGGTTCATTTTTTTCAAGGTTATCACCCGAAAAATCGGTCAATTTTGGGGGTCATTCACGATTGAAATGACCAAAATTTTTTAAGCTAAATTTTTCTCTTTGGTTATCGAACAAAGCAAAATATTTTAAGATGAAATTCTTTGGCAGAATCGATTTTTCTGATTCAAATTCTGATCAGAAACGAAATCCCGATTCAAACAAACAAACAAACTTGTGCT